CYTATGTAAAACGATTGTATTGTTCCTGCCATCTAACATGGCTGCTGTCACGTGATGGTGCAAAGCCTCTATAGATTCTTACTACACATGCTCGACGAAAATAATTTCGTCGAGTATGCGCAGTAAGAAATAAGGGTACTGGGTATGAGATTGATTCTCCCTCCCCTCCTCGACACCTCGGCATAACAGGCTAGGTCATTTCGACCGTCACGTGATAGTGCAAAGCCTTTATTCTAGCCAAGGTACTCGGCATCTCCCTAGCTTAACCCGAAATGTGGTTGATTTTCRAAAACGATCCCTACGCCGTACCAGCCTGTAACAGGGGCAAGTATAGGACTTCAGCGGTATCCATGTAAATATCTYACTCGATTTTTCAYGGATCGTAAACCTAAACCGAGCAATTCRCTGAACCATTTTTATATTCCGCCTTCACGGTGGCCTCGATACTCGTGGTACTAGTCCCTTGATGCGGGTTTCTRGACGAGTCATTTGCAGAGTGACCAGCATTCTTTGCAACAGGGTTATTTGTGTCTGTTAGTGGTCTAGGTATAGTCCGCCAACAAAGCCTACCACTCACTTTTAAGAAGTAAATAACCAATACWGTTATCATAAGTACACCTAATAGACTAAAAATAATGAGCCATTTTACAAACGCAGACACCCCTCCAGAATCTGAATCCGAATTGTTTGTGTTGTTTAATTTATAAAGAGACAAGCAATGGCGTCGTTTTTCGTCTACTTCGTCTTCCTCGTGACAAAACCGTAAGCACTCGCCCATCTCACAATCACAGTACAAAGAACAGTTGTGACACATCTCACCGAACGATATAGGACAWGATTTCTTGCAGTTCTTAGCACAGGCTTCCTTCTCGGCAGCGGTGATTTTATAGTTAGTTTCCACAGTGCCGTACAATATTAAAGACCATGTTTTGAATGTACCCACGTATTGCTCATGATTGGTGATCTTCAGCGTCCAATTCCCTCGTGGATCCTCTCCCCAAGAGAAAACAGTCATGAAAGGCCAGTTTTGGAATCCATCGCTAGAACTATCCCCATCTCTTTTYCTTAATAGATGAGATTCTGTACCCRATGGCGATACCAGTGTTATACTCAGTGCCCCTCTGCGTGGATGGCTGAGAGTTATATACACTCGTATATGTTCAAGTCGTGTGATGCTGCTGCTTTTGCCCATGCATCCTTTAGACATAAGTGTCGTTGTGACTGTTCCTCTACTTGGGATTACTTTGTCACTAATGTCGCCTAACTCTCTACAAACATGCTGGTCGTTAGCKGTTTTCCAKTTGGGATGGRTGGCTAGGTCTACTAACGCTGCAGCATCAAGAGAACCAAATCCATACTTGTTGTTAACATGATGTCCTGCACCATTGATGATCCACTCAGGGTCATCTGGGTCGTTCTTCTTGGAGGTATTGACTACTAGGTGTTGCAGGTCTCGCCAGGTGAGTTTGGGATTGGCCTCGAGAACCAGGGCAAACATTCCTGAAGGATATGGAGACGATCATTATCAAAATCCCATCCATCAATTTCAATAGGTTTTCACATTTAAGAAACTCTATTTATTGAATATTCATTTGTTACAACATTTTAGTGTACATTTGGTGAAATTACATCACTCACATTTGGTCCTAAATTGGAACATAATATTTTTTTAATCAACAACGACAACAGATAGAGCATTTGATTAGCAAAACACAAATGTAGTTGCATTGCATAGCACACAGCATAATTATCATGCACTAAGCTGTAAAACTACCTTGAGCAAAAGGAAAATAATATTAAATGAAAATAAATAAAGAAATACAGCTATTTTAAAAAAGGTTGGTGAAGGCTTTGTTGCATGTTGCACACCAAGTAGTAATGCACTATGGGCGATGTCAATATAATCAGCGAAAGGTCACAACAATATGAAATATACTTTGTCTGCACGTTTTTATGGCATTATTTATTCTGTGCTTACATTCATTTCAAGCCTAGCAAGCAACAAGCTAGCCTCCTACSCAGACGTTTATAGTRYCYGTCACGCTACGAAGGGAAACTGCGCGACAGACATTAAGAACGACGTAAGCGGATGAACACACGGCGTATGAAGCTTGCAACAAGCAAGATGCTGCAAACAACACCACCTYTACCAACCTTTTTCGAAATAGCTGTAGTCGGAATGAACCTTATGTTGCTCGTATTGCAACATGTGGAATTGCCCCCCTTCCTTCCCAAACATCATTTACATCATACTCCCTTAGTGTGTAATGCATCAGGGGATTGTGGATGAAAAGTAAGCGTGCCATTCWGTTGAGCATTATTTCTTTTGTTTAATACATACTTGATTTGGAGCATTAATAATGGAGCTAATAGTGATTAAGTTTGTGTATTAAAAAGATATTAAGCGATGCAAACGTAAACCAAAACCGTTGCAATACTCCTGTTTCTAGTTATCTGTAGGTCAGGGTTAGCCTAGATTTCATGCAGAATATTCGCSGAGTTTCAAAGTGTTTGTATTGTTTGAAGTTGTACATTCTTTACTTTAACRTTGGTATTCGTAATTATTTAGACACTGATTCGAGRTAAAGCCTAATTAAATGAGTCTGTGATCTAGGAACACAGCGGTAATTTAGAGCTCGAAGAAAGTCAATGGCCGATTTTCGTGGACCGTAATAAGTAATGTCATGACTGACGTCACCTATTAAACGTTTATCTGGCCTCCCCTCCACTTTAAAAAAGAAAGTGTAGATTATCTCAAGTCGATGAATGACTTTTGTTATACCGCCATGGAAGATCTCACAAGGCACTTATATATATTCACGAGTATAGACCACTTGCATGTGACGTCAAAGCAGCTCAATTTGGAGGACTAAACAAAAAAATTTCAATCCCCTGAAAAATCTTAAGCACTCCTATCCAATTTAATCTGCATTCAAACATGTGGCAAGGGGTCTATACGAGAAAAGTGACAAGTGGTGATATTTCAAGGCGTGTCACGAAATCATTGTATAGTTATTTTACACCACACTTTATAAATTAACTATTATGATTCTCGCGTTCYGATTGGTTTGGAGCGCGTGCTTTATGAGAGCACATTGCGCACGCGCGCAATTTCCGTTGCGTCATTCTTATCTAAAATAACGGTTATTGTAATTTGTATTTTATAAAAGAAATAAAAAACTTGCTTCCTGTGCTGTGCCGTTATAAAACACTTGGGGATGTGCAGAACACTCAAGAAGTGTCGAGAAGCACTACGCGTCGATCGTGCTTCTCCCAACATTTCTCTCGTGTTCTGGCCAACCCCCGCGTGCTTTATGACTGCACACAGCACGCACGCGYGCTTTCTATTTATTCAATTTATTGAAACTAGGCATTTAGTCAAGACCGCCGAACATATATACAATAGCTTTCCTGCATTATGATTGGAAATGATAATAGCGATAAACACAGAAGCACAGCATGCAACAACCAAAAAAAAAAACACACCGAAACAAAGACAAGCTGCACGACATGTTCCCTGCAACACCATGCACGGCAAGTAGCGTTTGATGAGATGTAAAAAACCTAAATCTCGAATGTGAAATTGTGGGTGCTGGCCAAATAACGATGAACAGATGTATCTCATTGAAGCTGTATGAACTACGACTTATTACTAAATCTTTGTAATTAAGATTAAAGCGTGCATGATATTAATGTTGTTTCCTATCAGATTTTTTTTCGTCTCAGCAGAGCGTGGGTTAATGGGCACTTTCGAAATACGAATGTACTAGATTTTTTGATGACATTTTAAAAGAATGTCAATCAAAACACCGAAAAGGTGATAGAGTAAAGCATGTAACAAGAGTGATGATATAGGAGACAACTAGCTTATTGTGCTAATGGTTAAATAAATAAACGCGCAGAAACAAAATTTCAGACATGGCGACAATCGAAACACTTGAAAGGCACTTAGTATCGGAAACCAAATCGATAACGAAGATAAATTTTTGTACATCCGCAGCAAGACAGATAATCAAAAATACGATCTCAACAAAGAGGGTTAAAAATAGGGAGGGGAAATAGTTAAGTYCAACAACACTCAAACGTAACAGAGAGTTCGCTGTTTGTGTTACGAGAGGATGAGGTTTCAGGAAATTCAGAGGGGAGAGGATACTTCATACTTCATTCGTTCCCTCCYGTGCTTCAAGGGTTTTCTCCGGTTTTCCTCCCTCCGCAAAGATCAATGTCCAAATTCCAATTCCATCATGAAACGAGTGCCATAGCTTTTTTCGAGGTTAGCTAATGTCKCAGTATAAAGTTTTTTGTTGCACAAAATTGCAATGGGACTCTTTCRGTCCCCCTTTAATAGAGACCAAAGAAATAACCCAAATCAAATATTTCATGTCTTTTAGGATCTTAAAATGTCGTTTTTTGCAGGAATGATAACTGAATACCATAAGGTACCTTCCGAAAACTACTCCTAAGAAGTGATAAGGGTCATCACGGAAACAGGGATAGACATGTCTTGTTCTTCTTAAATTAATTGTTAACATCTTTCATCTTTCTCTTGAGAGAGACGTGTAGACATACTCCCCGAGTGCTTGGATTTGAAACAGTCTTGTTTGCATGACAACTGGGTATTTTCCGACATAACAGGGGGTGTCGGAGTTTGTCTTTCCTATTTGGTTCCTTACATCTTCTTTTCTTGTTTTCTTTCTTTCTTTCATTTTATCCGCCATTCCTTTTTTGTCTTTTTTGTTTCTCATGCCCTCTTATTTCCCTACTTTCTTATTTCCCTTCTTTGTTTTTCCTATACTTCTTTCCTATTCCCTTTTATATTCTTTTTCGTTTCTTTTGTCCTTTTCCACTTTTTCTTTTCTCTTTTAATTCCAAATGCATGCCTAACAAGCACTGATAACACCATTAACCTAGAGCACAAAATTAACGATGAATGAAATATTTGTTTAATGGTATATATATAGATGTTACATGTTGCTATAAAAACTGGTTGATGATAATAGTTTCTTGTATGAAAGTATTCAGTATTTAATAATCTATGGATGCGAACGTTTACCCCCTCATGAGTCATCTTCACCTTATGACATCAATTATTTTAAATTATATACCCATTTCAATAAAGTTAGTCACCTGAAAAGCTACATAGCTGACCATGCCAAAGATTATAGTTTTGTAGATACATTTTACATGTTTTAACTGCTTCGTAACCAATGATAGACTTGGGATCTTTTACCAGTTACAGCTTCACCTGTGAGCTTTCTCAAGACAAGTGACAATAGCGTTTTCCACGGACGATGTCACAATTGTGCATCATGGTCTTGAATAGAGGACAAGCCAAGCCCAGCGAACATGGGCACATGCTGCAACAATGTTTTGTAGTCTTGTGTTTCCAATTCATGTAAAAACTATAGTTCTTCGACTGAAATTCTTCTTCTTTTTCATGTAATCGAGCCTTTATTTGCAATGTTTGTCCGCATTTCGATCCCGCAGGGCTTTGCGATATCTATTTTTAGAAACCGTAAAGAATGCTACTTGTATACAAATTTTTACTTTTTGGTAATGAGAGTTTCGTATGAATCTCAGCTTTGTAGGTTTTTGATGACTAACTTTATTGAAATAAGTATATACCCTCAATAGCACATACCAGAAATACACTCTATTGGCTTCAAAATTATTTTTTTACCATAACTTGGAAATTTCTCGGGCGCTGATTGGCTTAGAACCATTGTCGATTAGAGACTAGACCTGCTTGTGCTTACGACATCCGTCACACGCGTACTGAGCGAGCGCATGAAATGGCTTTTTCAAACTATTTACTTAGAAAACTGACTTCGATTTATTAAGTTTCAAGTCGAGCCATTTGGGTAAATGCAATAAATGTATAGAAACTGACCCAAATGCACGATTGTTTGAAGCCAACAGAGTGTAACTATGATATCGGCTATTACAAAATCATTGTCGGTTCAAACCACAAACATCAACAGAAGTTGAGGCCAAAATGGGAAGTACGTTGGTAATATGTATCTAATGATACAACTTCTGGAATGTCCGAAAATTGTTTTTCCGACAGTAAGTATGGAAGCTTCTAACACAACATCGTGCGTCATATCTGTGTTCTCAAATGAATACACCAAAGGATAATTGTCATTTCCCAGAATACCTCTTAGTCTCAGTTTCTCTGTTTTATATTTTGAATCCGACGATCGGATTTTGCAATCGAGTGTATATCTAATTGCAGAATCGAACTGTTCAAAAWTACAGTCAACTCTYGCCTTGCGCACACCCTGATATTACTTACACCTCGCTATTACAGACAGGAGCAAAATCCCCGGCAAAAATAATGACAAAGAAATGACCGTAATTAATTCTCRTTATTGCGGACGCTCGCTATTACGGACATRAAGTGACAGTCCCGAGGGTGTCCGCTGTAATGAGAGTTGACTGTACAAAGTATAGAAGTTGAGAAGCTATTAAAGGAAAATATATTTACGATAATCATATGCTTATGAGTTAACAGGATGTTGAGCCCACATTCCATGTTTATAGATTACAAAAATTCAACATATTTAAGAAAATTATGTTCTATATCTTATTGATGCCGCATTGGGAGATTACCTATAAGTCTCTTCAGTCTTAACTTCCATGTCTTATCATAAAAACAAAAACAGAAACAGGACGATTCTGTAATTAGATATACACTCGACGGAGTAACTATCCTTTGGTGATTCGATTTGGTYGAATTGGGAAGCCATTTTAGAGTTAMAGCACCCTAAGYTATTTCTAATACGAAATCTGCCATCTGTACAAATTTACAGGTAAATAAAGACAATRATCCGRTAGATCAACATTGACATCTGAYTTGTAAAAATATCAAATAATTTATAAAATAATGGTTGGTATTGGATTTTCGTAAGGCATTTTTAAAAATGTCCATAAAGTTAAAAGTTTCTGGTCGTATGCAAATGTATATTAGGCAATATAGTTGATCGTGTAGAATATTTTTGTTCACAGGTCAATAAGAAAGTCATCTCTTTTACTCCCAATATTTAATTTGTCGTCCCCATAGGTTGCTTAATAATTTTGTTTCAGAACAGATTAATAAGCTCTGACAAGTTGCATTTCTGTGTAACAGTTTTTGTTTCAATGTATACTGCAAGCCATCTTTTTTCGTAAATATGGGAGAATTAATGTCCCTTGACCTGCACACACGATGTTTGGTCAAGATTGAAAAATATAATAGGCAAGATATCCAGACTAAACCCCGAATGCACTGCGCTTCCTGCGCGCTGTGTACCAGAATTCTACAACCCCCAAATGGTTCCAACAGAACTGTAAAAAGATGACTTGTAGTTAAAGATTTCCCGTTCATGAAAAATAATGTCCGACCTAAATATTTTTTCTAACAACTGATTTTGTGCCTTACACACTTGTGGTAATGTTGAATCTGATGATATGAAGGTAGGGCGTCCTTAGTTTAGGTCAACAATGCTTTTGGATATGAATGTCAAACAGGTTTTTGATTCAGAAAACTCTACCCTCACATAAACAGATCCTTAAATAGGTCTGGATAGGCCATTTGCATGAAATAATCACATGAATTTTACTGGATGGCAAAAACTGAATTTTGACTTTCTTTGTTTAAATAACTTTGCTGGATTACTAATGTCATATCCAAACAAAATTTTTCAAAATACCCTTTTAACCTTATATTATAATTTCGATTTCAAGATACGAAGCATGTTAACGTTTGTTTGCCATCCGGCAGAGCCTTCCCAAGGGACCTTTGGCTGAAATAATTCGTTATCAAAGCGATATGGGACTGTTTGTTGCCAATGGCCTATTGTCACTGTAGTGAAGTGGTTGTATAAAACGTGTCAGAACTAAAAAGGTGTGCARTAAAACCTGGAACGTGGGTGATTCATATAATTGAACAAAACATATACATAAATATAACATCAAAGCAGTATAATCTCCATCAAGTGRCTGCTTCAAAGTACTAGACTCTGTTGTTCTTGTTCCAATATGGTAACATTGTGYCCCTCAGGATTATTCAGAGACACCGGTGCATAACTAACATTTCGTTGTACACTTTTCTTGTTTATGTCTGGTCTTGCCCAACAAAACCTCCCACTYGCTTTAAACAAATACATTACAAGTACCGTAGCCAAGAGAATTGCAAGTAAACTGAATATTATCAACCACTTGACGAATGTAGATAGCTCTCCTGTGCTGTACTCTTCGTCATTGTCTCCAGAATGACTGCCAGCTGGCGGTAAACAATGTTTTAGCTTCTCATCGACTTTGTTTCCACTGCCACAAATACTCATGCAATGTCCATTATGACAATTACAATACTTATTAGAGGGACATTTTCTAGGACAATTCTTTGAACAAGTTTCTTTATCGTCCATGGTTAAAGTCTTGGCAGGYAAGCAATGTTTGGCTTTTTCATCAACCTCGTCATCCTCGTCACATAGTGATACGCACTCTCCCGTCTCACATTGACAATACAGTGAACAATTATTACAGACATAAGCAAATGGCTCATTAGGACAGTTGACTTTACAGTGCTTCTGACAGCTTTGTTTTTCARTGTCTGTGATATTTTTGTTGACTTCCACAGACGAGCCGTACAGCCTTAGAGACCATCTCTTAAATTGTCCCTGGTAGTTACCATGGTCAGTAACTTGGATCGTCCAGATTCCCCGAGGATTCTCTCCCCAAGAGAAGACTGTCATGAATGGCCAGTTTTGGAATCCATCRCTTGAGTAATCCTCCTGTCTTTGCTTTAAAAGTTCAGACCTTGTACCCGATGGTGATATCAATGTTATACTCAGCGCCCCCCTRCGTGGATGGCTGAGAGTTATATACACTCGTACATGTTCCAATCTTGTGATTTTGTTGGTTTTTCCCATACATCCATTGGAATACAAAGAAGATGTAAATGTTCCCTTTCTTGGGATTACTTTGTCACTAATGTCGCCTAACTCTCTACAAACATGCTGTTTGTTAGCKGTTTTCCATTTGGGATGGGTGGCTAGGTCTACTAACGCTGCAGCATCAAGAACACCAAATCCATACTTGTTGTTAACATGATGTCCTGCACCATTGATGATCCACTCAGRGTCATCTGGGTCGTTCTTCTTRGAGGTATTGACTACWAGGTGTTGCAGGTCTCGCCAGGTGAGTTTGGGATTGGCCTCGAGAACCAGGGCAAATATTCCTGAAGGATATCAACCCAGGATTATCTCACACTTAAGATTTTCATACTCTGTGTATGTTTGTATGTTCTTTTAGTCACATCAAGAAGACATAAGGATAAAGACTAGACTAACTCAAGAGGGTCTTAGATGTCATGTTTTTGTTGCTTATGGAACAGAAGTAGGGCGTATGTTCTAATATGTCCCTGACCATGTGGTAGAGAATCATATCAGATGCACAGTTGAYGTCGTAAGGTCATATATACATCTTTAACGGTTGGACAGATCTACTTTTTAAATACCTGACTGTGAGTGGGGAAGTCAAGTACCAAACGTTAAGGCTAGTATCCCTAACAATATCTATTAGCATTAGCATCCATATTACAACTATTAGTAGGCATGCATTCCACACAACAGCTGGTTACATCTTAATCTGGCACACTGCGCAACAACAGCCGATGAGCAAGCAAAATTATGCATATTTGCTGTGTCAGTGCAAAACAAAGATACAAAGATAAATCTGACAAAAACCTAAACCTAAWTCACACAGATACCTCTACGCTGTATGAAGACAATAATTGTCCTTATCTAATGCTTCAATAGAAAGAGTGATTTTAGCTAGATAGCTAATTTCCAGTTAAGCTCTGTACATGTATATTGCAAAATATASGATTCTTGCTTGGACAGTATTTCTCAATTCAATCTATATGTCATTCCCTTAGACATTATTTCTTTCTTCACCCAAAATCGTGGCAAAAATTAAAAAATTAAAAAAAAAAATAGAAGACGTGGAATATTTTACCAATATCTAAAATGGGAAACATTAAGCCTAAAATAAATCCAACTTTTGAAAACTACATGTGGATTTACTAGCCCTTAACTTTAACATATAAAAATAAATGTATAATGATGGCTTTAAAGATATCATGGTATAAGGCATACATTTGGCATTGTACCCAGAAATCAAATTCCTTTTTAGTCTCCACTAAAACAAAAGTTGGTGTGCCAAGTCCAGATGCCATAACCAAAAAAGTTCGCCTCACACATCTGAAGTCCAGGCTTCGAATCTCAGGTCACCGCATGTGAGCTGAATCGGTTGGTTCTCTTTCTGACTGTGACGGTTTTTCAGGCTTTCCAATTTTCCTCCCTCCTCTCAAATCAACCCTAACTAATTCAAACTGGTTAGAACTGTGCTCCGGGGTCATACATAGAGTGTATAGCGGCTGACAGAAGCCCCTTCACATGCCTTCAGTTCGATTCCATTGAGCTGCACCTCTGTTTTTTTTTTTTTGTTTTTTTTTCCATAATGACAAAGAAAAAAAGCTGGTTCTGGACTTAAAATTTTTCCTTTTTGTTTGTGGAGATAAAAGAGAACACAAAACTCTGGGGACGAAACCAAATACCTGCCATACCTTAATTATGAGGTAAAAGAATCTTAGCTTACCAGCAGCAAGAGGAGCAGCAGCTGAAGTTCCACTGTGATCTTTAGTACACTTGTGATGTATATCTGTTGTTACAATCTTAAGGTCAGGAACCTTTCCATTTGCAGCTCCACTACTGTATGTGACGGCAAGTGTGGATGGGCATGGTTCGGAATACCAGGGTGATTTGCCATGGTCATCGACAGCTCCAATGGCGATGGTGTATATACTGGTTATGTAGCCATCACAATTACAGTAATCCTTAAATTTRCCACCATTGCCTGTTGCCCATACAAAGATGGAACCAAGACCTTTACGTCCTTTGCTGATCCCTATAACACAAATAATCCACATTAAGCAGAGAAGTAATGTGATTACAAGAGGCATCATGTGGAGATAAAAATGTTAGCCAATCAGRATCAARAAAATTTGCAAAACTGTGACACTTTTCCTGCCAAATGAAGATAATATGCAAYTGATAACAGTGACACAATAATTCAGTTTTATATTTTTATTCCAATGACAGGTGCGTTTTCACTTTTTTCTGGTCAATAGCACGTTTTCTCAAGGCTGCAACAGCATCCAAATTTAAGGAACTTGAAGGGCCATGATACCAGAACACGAGCTCTATGATGAGTATTTTCATGCATTGCTATGAATTTTTTTAAAATAAGAATTCATGAAATTGATTATTCTCCTCTTTAATTATAAAACTKGCTTCTCAGTTTTACTGAATTTGCAGTTTTCAGCTTTATGGCCCATGAAGTTGGATGCGCATACAACCTTGAGAAAACCAGTATGGTAGTGCATCATTTCTACATAACTATTTCAGATCAGATGGAAGGATGACTATCTAGAAAAGATAAGACTTGCATGCCTACCTTGTCTGAAGGCTTTTTTAGCAACAGTACCAGGGCCATCTACTGTCCTGCCATCATCATCAGGACCCCAGCTACTACTATATATGTCAATAAAATTGGTTTTGAGTGATAATGATGCTCCTTCCACGGCGTCTGTTACATCACCATC